TAGAAGCTAGCTGATGGGTGCATGGGGGGTCATTAGAGTATTTTCTCTGCTTTTGTACATCTTTCAAATTTTCCACAATGAGAAAAATGTACAATAAAAAATAGGGGAAAACCATGATATTAACATATTTGGGAAACAGAACTTTGAGTTATTTTTCCCATTCTACTTTCTGTATTGTTCACATTTTCTGCATTACTTTTATCATATAAACCATAAAATAAATATTTAAAGAAATGCACATACTCCTTGCACATTGCTCCTGGACTCTGGGTATTCTTCAGCTTTAATAAGCAGACCAAGACTGCCCACAATCTAATGGGGTCAAAAAATGATGACAAAAGCATTTGCTATCTTTGTTTTATCAGTTCTCTACCGTTCACACACTTAGAAAAGCCACTTTGTAAGAACAAATATGGTCTTTACATATAAACTAGCCAAGAGCAAAAAGGCACATAAGTGCGAAAGTGCTTTAACAAAAATAACCAATGATACAGTTACTCTTCATAGTTGGCAGAGTCTGGGTCAAGGAACTTCAATGTGCAAAGCAGACCTTGCCAATGGTCAGACAGGCTCCAATATCCTATCTCCTTAGGCTTTGATGCTGCCAGCCAGTGTTGGGAGTGGTGGTGTTGCAGACCACCTGAGCTCCTAGGCCAAGAGCTCAGTGACTACCTCCAGTTCTTCCCAGTGATACAATTATTGCCACATGTGCCATGATATGAAAAAAGTTTGGGGAGTTTAACACACTGACTGCCACACACACACACACACACACAAAAAAAAAAAAAAAAAAAAACAGAAAATTTTCCTTGGGGCCACAGTGTTTTATTATGAAAATATAATAAAAACTTCAAGTGTAATTTAAAGGTAAACATAAATAGAAAAACAAAATTTACTGACTCTATTCACTGAATCCATGTTTTGAGAATTGTCAATATTAATTATAACAAAAAGAACATCAATAAGACTTTACATATGCTTCACACAGTCCTGGGGTCAAAACTAGAGTGAGTTAAATACAACTCTCATGGCAGTTAATGTGTTAAGCTAGACCTGCCTTGATCATTACTCAAAAGCTAAATAAAAGTATAGTAATAGTACAATGGAATCTCTTTAAAATGCTGGTACAGAAAAAAGAAACCCAATCATGCTATAGGTCCTACACTACTGTTTTCTAATTTTTTTAATCTGCTCTCCCACATCCACTTAGGAAAGCTTAAAAAACACTCCAACATCATTCAATGAAATAATCTCCTAGTATAAATGTTAGCTCGGTGGCATAAAGTTAAATTTGGGGGACAAGAGTACAATCTGGATAATCAGTGCCAATGCTAAATGTATTCAAGGTAAATCTGAAATAATCCCACTTATTAAGGTTGAAATAAAAGTACTTAAGTATCAGTGGCAAATCTTCCTGGAAGCTTAGAGCTATAAAGATCTCCTTTTAAATGACAAGAAACTGAAGCCCAAGTTATTTGTTCAAGTTCACAGTGGCTGAACAGGGACTAGCCCCAGATCTCCTGGCTCCCAGTGACTGTACTTCCCAGGACACCTCCACAGAGTTCCTGCTAACTGCTTCCTTTAATCTCTCTAGAACTATAAAACAACATCCAAGTACTTCCTGCTCTACCAGGGAATCTCTAGTTAATCTGCAACTAGTAAATCATAGTTTGAGAAGAAGCAATTTAACTTGATGCCACTAATTAACCTTAAATTTGTGATATTTAAACACAAGTTTATCAGTCAGTTCTTGTTTATATTTATGAAGTACTAAGGCAGCCTTTTCTTGTATAGATTAGGAAATATATTTTAAAAAAACACCAAGTTGTTCTTTATATGGTTATTTTAGGGGGATGTATTGACATATATCGAAATCTATGTAAACAAGCCATGCATGAACACAGCAGTCCTCTGTGAGAATGAAGACACCACTAATAGAATTTCCTTCGTGGTACTGAAAAATAGTTCAGGCAAGAGGAGTTTCCAACAAAAATAGAATGTGAGATTGGTATATTAGTGGAAAAATGAACTGCCTTAAAAAAAAAAAAACCAATCAGTTGAATGAGGAAGAGAGAGATGACAATATAGAGATTTAAAAAAAACATGTGACATTTGCATAAGTTCTTTATATTTAGAGAGCAACTCTACTTTAAATTACCAAATGCCCATTCTCAGAAGAAACATGGAAGTTGTAACTTCAATACTCATATTGGCTAAACTGTACTGTCATACCAAACAAATACTTTGAATTATTTTAAATTTCTCTACAAAGTTTCAACAGGAAAAACCTAAAAGTTCCTTTTCCAGAAAAAAGTGATTAATGTTTTTATTCTTAGGCACTATAGCATGTGTCTTGGGTTAACCTGAAACCCAAGAACACAAGCTCTGTGTCACTAGAAGCAAGGACATCTGAGATGGCTGTTCATTTTGTTTCCTGCCACAGAATGCCAATTCTGCAAGAACAGATGGAGTTTCTTCAAGGAAAGGTTAAGGTAAAAACAGGATCTCCCAGACTCCACACAAAACCATGAAAGTCCTGTACACAAAAGACTTTTATAATTAAAGTAATGATATGAATTTAAGTCCTGATGTCCAAATTTCAGGGTCCTTGGAAAAGGGGGTTCCATGTACATAACGTGATGTGCAACATCAGTGAAATTAGAACCTAAGTCTGGAGCATAAAAGGTAATAATTCTTTTAGGGTAAAATTTCTCACCTTTTATAGAGCTATGCCCTACTGGTTAATTTGCAGGAAAAAAACAACGGAGAGAAACAGAGGTTGTTTCCTAATCTCCCTTGGAATTTTCTGCATTTAAATCTGGAATATCTGCCTTATAACAGAAATACACACAAGTCTCTTCCCACTTTATAAATATATTTGCCTACCTTCATTCTTCAGGTCAAAAACTGACAGAAAGACGACAATTCACTTTTTTTTTTTTTTTTTTTTTGAGACAGAGTCTCACTTTGTTGTCCAGGCTAGAGTGAGTGCCGTGGCGTCAGCCTAGCTCACAGCAACCTCAAACTCCTGGGCTCAAGCAATCCTCCTGCCTCAGCCTCCCGAGTAGCTGGGACTACAGGCATGCGCCACATGCCCGGCTAATTTTTTTTTTATATATATCGTTGGCCAATTTATTCTTTCTTTATAGTAGAGACGGGGCCTCGCTCTTGCTCAGCTGGTTTTGAACTCCTGACCTTGAGCAATCCGCCCGCCTCGGCCTCCCAAGAGCTAGGATTACAGGCGTGAGCCACAGCGCCCGGCCTACTTTTTTTTTTTTGAGACAGAGTCTCACTTTGTTGCCCAGGCTAGAGTGAGTGCGGTGACCTCAGCCTAGCTCATAGCAACCTCAAACTCCTGGGCTCAGGCGATCCTTCTGCCTCAGCCTCCCGAGTAGCTGGGACTACAGGCATGCGCCACCATGCCCGGCTAATTATTTATATATATATTAGTTGGCCAATTAATTTCTTTCTATTTATAGTAGAGACGGGGATCTCGCTCTTGCTCAGGTTGATTTTGAACCCCATGAGCTCAAACGATCCACCCGCCTCGGCCTCCCAGAGGGCTGGGATTACAGGTGTGAGCCACCGCACCCCGCCAAGACGACAATTCAAAATGCTCAGACACACATCTATGATGCACTTCAGCCATCTAACAGATACTTCTGAGTTTACCATGTGCCAGTTGTGTGGATTTAAAAAAAAAAAAAGTGTCCTCCTGGGTATCACAGATCAATAGCAGCTGCCAGTAGTACACCTTAAGGTGCATAACTCACAATCAAAGGACAGTACAGGGCAGCAGAAAAACGACCACTGAATAGGGTGTGCCCTCATCACTGAGCACCCAGACTGCAGCATCCCAGCTGGTTTCCCTGGTTGGCAGCCTTTTCAATCTGTCCTGCATTCAACTGCCAGATTCATTTCTAGAATTCCACTTTCAGGGAGTGTCTGCTCTACTCAAGAAGCTTCGAAAAACTCCCTGCTACTTAACTACATCTAGTTCAAACTCTTCAATTTAAAAGTTTCCATAGGCTAGTTCCACCTGTTTAACTTTGAATGGTGCTCAATATGGCTCCCTTCTGCCAATTCTTTTTGGAGTAGGAAGGACCCAAACCTAATTCAACTTCCTGCTAACTCCTCTGGCAGCCTTCATTCTAAGCAGTCTTAAAACACTGTTCCCTCGGTCGTCAGTACAGACCATTCGTTTTCAGGACATTCTTTCGGAAGTCGGCATAAGCTTTCTCAACAAATGGTGTGTACATTCCAAGGCATTTTTAACACTATCATCCCAAACAGATGTTCATACTCCCAGCCACCCCTCTGCGAAATCAGAGTCAGTCCCAGCATCGCACCTTGTAAGAGGGAGACAGGGCTTCGGGCGGCTGCAAACCACTGAGAGGGAAAAAACGAAAAAGGAAAGGGAAAGTCTGTGCTCCGTATTCTCAGTCCTTTCTTCGGGAAGGGAAGGGAGGGAGGGGAGGAGACCCCAAGAAACGGATTCTGAGGAAGGACAGAAAACACCCGTGTCCCCGTAGGCGGAGACGGCCGGCTGCAGCGCCAAACTAAGAGGCTGGGCCTCGGAAGGCGAGGGGCGAGGGCACGGCGCGCCCTCGGAGCACCGGCCGAGCGCCGGACGCGGAGGCCGGGGGACGAGGCAGTGAGGAAGGCGCCGGGGCGGGCGTCTGCGGGCATCAAGCAAGGGACGCGGGGGCGGGGAGGAGATTTGAGGGGATCGCGTGCCAGAGGGAGGGACGTTGCCCAAGGCATGCTCTCCGAGAAGGAACCCCGGGGACGCGGAAAACGTGAGAGTGTTGGGGCACCGGCATTTCCCACCGCAGACCGGCGTCCCGGCACACTCACCGCCTCGCTTCCAAACGCCACCACTCCGGTTGCAGCTACCGGTCGGCGCAGCCGCATTGAGCGCACCCGCCCACGTGACTCGCCGGGCCACGGCCTCCCCCACGTGACCCGCGGGCACATTAGTGCCCTCCCGCTCGCCGCTCTTCTCCAAGAGGTTCCGGCGCCCCGCCCTTCCTGGCAAGATGGCGGCGCCCGGCTGCGGTGCACGGGGCCTCCGGGTCCGGGGTGCTGGCCAGTCTTTGGGGAGTCTCATCACTCTTGTTTCAAAGCTATTTTGTTCCACGGCTGCTTCCTCTAAGTCTCTGGACGCCCAGCGATTAGCTGAAAGGCTTCGAGCCCAAAAACAGAATCAGAAGAGGAAAAAGGAGCCGGTGAGTCCGGGCAGGGGTCCTCAAACTTTTTAAATAGGGGGCCAGTTCACCGTTCCTCAGACCATTGGAGGGCCATTGGAGAGTGCGGTTGCACTGTGGGCCCGGGACAGGCGGGCTGCTAAGCAGGACAGGCAGCAGCCACAAAAACTCCCAGCGGTGGGACGAATAAATGTCCTGGGCGGCCGCATGTGGCCAGAGGCCCTAGTTTGAGGACCCCTGGTCCAGAGGGACCACAACTCCCAAGAGGCAATGCGCTCACTGGTTTCCCAGGCGGGGAGTGAGGTGGGAGAGTCCTCTGACTGACAGCAAGTAAATAAAGGTCTAGGACGTAGGGGAGAATGGAGAGAAAGCGGAGGAGAGCCGTCAGTAGGAGTACGGTATTATCCTGTGGGGTGAGTCTTTGCTCCTGCCGAGCTCAGTCGTAACTGCTGCGTGCCTGAGTCTGATACAAAAATACAGTCATTCCCTACCCACAGTGTCGCCTAGACCTTACCGAAGACCTTCGCCATCGGGCATTCCCCACTATTCTTTCTCCCTAGGTGCTCACAAACCCTGTTCAGCGGAGGGTTCGAGAATTAGTGCGCTTCACACAGCAGCTGCAGCGAGTCCACCCCAATGTGCTTGCTAAGGCACTGAGCCGAGGGATTCTCCACCAGGACAAGGACCTTGTGGTCATCAATAAGCCCTATGGCCTACCTGTGCATGGTAAGGACCATGTGGGAAAGGGCCCTGCTGCTGCTTTCTGCTAAAACTAGGGGAAACTGACACATTACTGGTGGGGCACTCTGAAGGCTTGCATTCAAATTGATTAAACCATTGTATATAATGCACTACTGAGTACACAGAGATAGGTAAGACAATCCCTACCTTCCAAACATCTGCCAGTCAGCAGCAATTCATGGAACGTGCTGTGTGCACGCTCCCACAGGGATTGCTATAGAGAAATACAAGGCTGTATGGTTCTAGTCTCCAGGTTATTATTATGTTTTAATCAAAACTGAAAATTAGGAAAAATACATAAGAAAAAAAGGGGTGCGCATCTATGTGTGTTTTGGTGTGTACCTAAAATAAAACCCCAGAGTGCCTGGAACTTAGTGGAATATAGTTGTCAGAGACAGCTGAGGGGTACATCAGGAAAGATTGATAGAAAAAATGCATTGTGAAAGAGTTTTGCAGAGAGAAAAGGCACTTGGGAAGCTTGTTAAAATGCACATTCTGATTTAGTAGTCTGGATTGGGGGCGTGAGATTCATTTCTAATAAGCTGTCTGGGCATACCTGTGTTGCTAGTCCCTGGACCACACTTCATTAGTTAAGCTCTAGAAAACATTGACAGTTTATCCAATAAGAGATTTTCTCCTAAGAAGAGTTTCTGGTGAGATCTTTTCCTGGCCACTCAAACCTCTGGCTTTTCCTTTCTTAGGTGGCCCTGGGGTCCAGCTGTGCATCAGTGATGTACTGCCTATCCTGGCAAAGATACTTCGTGGCCACAAGGCAGAGCCCTTGCATCTGTGCCACCGGCTGGACAAGGAAACCACAGGCGTGATGGTGTTGGCTTGGGAGAAGGAAGTGGCACATCAAATTCAAGAGATGTTTAGAACCCGTCAGGTGACAAAGAAGTACTGGTATGAGGCCCAGTGATGGTAGTAGAGGTGGTATAAGTAGAAGCATCCCTTTCATCTATTTATCTATCATAGAGCAGGAACTCCTATTAATAGAAAGCGCTGTAATAGGACCTGTGATATAAAAAAAAGTATATGAAACAGCTTAGGTGCTTAGAATATTAAGAGCCTGATGGTTCTTAATTCTGGCTATATATCAAAATTATCAAAAATTAATTATATAAGTAATATATGAGTTTATTCCTTTGCTAAAATAGTCAAACAGCAAAGATAAAGCTGGAAAACCCCTGGTGAATCCACCCACTCTGCTATTGTAGTCTCTTCCCTTGAGGTAGCAACCACTGTAATCAATTTGGTTTTTAATTCTCTGGTCCTTTCTTAATGCATTTACATACACATCTAGAATTTTAGTATGTCTGTGTACCTACACACACTTATGCATATATATCACATTGTACAATTTACATTGCACTTCCCCCCCCCCCCCCCCCCCCTCGACTTAACTCTCTATCTTGGAGACCTTTCTATGTTTGTTAGTACATATAGATTTATCTCATTTTTTTTTTTAGTAGAAAAAAGGTATATGAGCAAAAAAAGGAACACTCGGCACCTGTGCAGTGTCCTTCCCCAGAGACAATCACTGTTACCAGTGTAAACTTCCAGATTTATACTGGACATATATATCATGTGGCAGTATATTTTACACACTGCTTTATACCCTGCTGTTTTCACTTGGATACTATATCTTGGAGAGAATTTTGTGCTGTACCTTTAAAATTGGATCTCTTTTAATGGTTCTGTGGTATTTCACTGTATAGATGGACTTTTTAGGTAATTTCTCATTTTTCAGAGCCTATTGCAAGGAATATGTGAATATATCTTTTGGATAAATTTCTAGAAATGGAATTGCTACGTTGAAGGGTATGCACATTTAAAATTTTAACAGTGCCCACATTGCTTTCCACAAAGGTTATGGCAGTTTATACTCCAACCTGCAGTGGTGAGTTCCAACCTCCCCTTATGCCAACCATAGCACTTTTAAAGGGTTTGACACTCTGGTAGGTAAAATAAATGGTATCTTCTATTTTTTTGTGTACTAGTGATATTGGCTATTTTTTTATGTGTTTATTGGCTGTTTGAGTTTCCCTTTCTCAAGATAGACTTTATTTCCTTTGCCTATTTTTTTTAGTGGGTTTATTAATTTCTATTTGATGTGTAAGTATTCATTTTATATTTTGGATGTTAGTCTTTTTGGTATTACAGATTTTGCAGATACTTTATGATCTGGGGAGCCCTTTAAAAATCTATATGCTTGTGGGCCAGGCGTGGTGGCTCATGCCCTATAATCCTAGCACTCTGGGAGGCCGAGGCGGGCGGATTGCTCGAGGTCAGAGTTCGAAACCAGCAAGAGCGAGGCCCCATCTCTACCACAAATAGAAAGAAATTAATTGGCCAACTAATATATATAGAAAAAAAAATTAGCTGGGCATGGTGGCACATGCCTGTAGTCCCAGCTACTTGGGAGGCTGAGGCAGGAGGATTGCTTGAGTCCAGGAGATTGAGGGTTGCTGTGAGCTAGGCTGATGCCACGGCACTCACTCTAGCCTGGGCAACAAAGTGAGACTCTGTCTCAAAAAAAAAACAAAACTATATGCTTGAGACCCATCTACAACGTAACCAAAATGTAAGACTATAAAGTATGTGTTATATTATTTGTCAAAATTATCCATGAAGGTTCAAAATTAGTAACCGTTCTCAGTATCAGGCTTTATGGAGGAGTTAAAGCCAATTAATTGGGTCTTGATGAATGAATAGGATTTGATAGGGGAGATGGAGAAATGTGTTCTAGATTGTGAGGGTGATGTGCACAAAGGTGTAGGACTAGCAGTCCAGTTTGGATAGTGGGAGATAATGCTGGAAAGGTAGGCCGGAACCCAGATAATGAGGGTCTTTAGTACTGGGTGTAGCAAGTAGAAGTTGGAAGTACAACATAGTAGGCAACTGATTAGCATTTGCAGACTTACTATGATAGCAGGCTTATTTCATTAAAGCTATTTGTTTGAACTTCTTACTACACTTTGAATTCCTTGAGAGTAGGTATTTTTGTCTTGTTCATCTTTATGGAGCTAATACTTACCTAAATCGTTGCCTTAGCCATCCAGTGAAAATTTACTGATTAAACTTTTTCGAGTGTTAGTGTTATATCATTAGGACAGGTAATTTAGTAACAACTCAGGTTAAATATGATAAAATGTATCAGCCCAAACTGCCACCAACCTGAAGCTGTGTGATCAGGGTGTGAAATAGTGTGTCTGAGTGGGCTTTTGACCCCTGAGTCAGTGGTTCTACAGTAGGCCACCAGGTACCCAGGAGGACTCCCTCCATGACTGACCTAAAAGAGGCATAAATTTAAGGACACATTAAACACAGTCTTCTACCTGTCTGTGATGTGACGAGAGGGAGAGCACCAAAAGAGTGATTCAGAATGAGTTGCTGAGTTGTGGTCATGGTGACTTCTTTGGGCACAGTGCCTTCCTGTTTTACCTACTTGGCAAATAGGGCAGGAGCAGTCCGGTAAATTTTTCAGTAGGTTCATTCATTTTTTCATTTGATTGTTCATTTAGTATGTGGTTAGAACCTGCTATCTTTTATTGTTTAAAAAAGAAAAACAGGGATCAAAACCATGTTATCCTAATTTTATATTAACTGTACATACCCATTTTTAAAGGCTGGAATAAAAGACTATGTTATTAATGTCATTTTCCCCCTCTTTTCTCCCAAATATTCTACAATTAGCATGTATGACTTTAGTAGTAAAAAAGATATGCTTGTAAGAAGTATCCACCTCTCAGCCTAAGTAAGTACTATACCAAGAGAATCACATGGGACCCTCCAATCATTAGAAATGGCCATGTTAGTGCAGAAGGTCCAGTGTGAAATCCTCTTAAGCGGATGAAGCCAAGGCTCTCCTCCCTTGCTAATGTGGCTAAAGCAGTGATCTGTATGTCACCCCCAGGGCCATCACTGTACGTGTCCCAGTGCCCTCAGCAGGAGTTGTGGATATCCCAATCATAGAGAAGGAGGTGCAAGGCCAGCAGCAACACCACAAGGTGGGTGAGCTGTCTCCCTAAGGCATGGGTTTCTGCTCTTTCAAGAAAATCATATCTTGATTTCTTTGGCTTCAGATGACGCTGTCCCCAAACTACCGCATGGACAAGGGGAAGATGGTGAAAGTGCGGAGCAGCCGGATCGCACACGTTGCTGTGACTCAGTACCAGGTGCTAAGCAGCACTCTCTCCTCTGCCTTCATGGAGCTCCAGCCCATTACTGGTGAGAGTGCCACCTTCTGTAGTGGGTTGCAAAACCCCATATTGCCAACCTTTGTGCAGGGCCTCGTGCTGCATCTTGCCTTTGTTCAGCAGCTGGTAACTGTGGGTGGGCTGAGGTTGTGGCAGATTTGTGTGAGCGTGTGCTTCTGGTGCTAATCTGAGGCGGGGGGCCTCCCATTGGGATTATTGGAGGTTTATTTTAAAATTTGTAGAGTGGCTCCTCAAAAAATTAAACATAGAATTATCATAAGATCCAGAAATTCTACTTCTGGGTGTATACCCAAGAGAATTGAAAGAGGGACTCAAATAGATATCTGCACACCCATATTCATAGCAGTGTTGTTCACAATACCCCAAAGTGAAGACAATCCAAATGACCATTGATGGATGGAGAAACAAAATGTGAAATAAACATACAATAAAATATTATTGTCGGCCTTAAAAGAATCAAAAGAAAGGAAATCTTGACACATGCTGCAATAGGGATGAACCTGAGGATGTTAAGCTAAATAAAATAAACCAGACAAAAGGGCAAAATACTGTGTGATCCCACTTATCTGAGATACCTGGAGTAGTCAGATTCATACAGACAGACAGTAGAAGTGGTTGCCAAAAGCTTGGGTGAGAGAGTGGGGAGGAATGAGGAGTTAGTTTTTAATGGAGACATAGTTTTAAGTTTGGGAAGATGAGAAAGTTCTAGAGATGGATGGTGGTGATGATTGCAAAACAATTTGAATGTACTTAATGCCACTGAATTGTATACTTAAAAATAGTTAAAATGGGAACTCTTATGTATATTTTACTATAATTAAATTTAAATATTATAATTAAATAATTATATATAAATTTAAATATTATTAAATAATTAAATAAATAATGTATAAAGCAATACTAATTATATAGTAAAATTTTTTTAAAAGTTAGGGTAATGGAAAACACTAAGTTCATGATAATGGTTTTCTATGGTGGAAAGAGGGAACTGTGATGAGAAAGGGTAAGTGTTATATTAATACTTAGAATATTTACAGTGTTTATTTCCTAAGCTGGCTGATGCTATATAGATTATAGTTTGTTATATTATTCTTTTAATTTTTTGAGACAGAGTCTTGCTTTGTTGCCGGGGCTAGAGTGCCGTGGTGTCAGCCTAGCTCACAGCAACCTCAAGCTCCTGGGCTCAAGCAATCCCCCTGCCTCAGTCTCCCAAGTAACTGAGACTGCAGGAGTTCATCACCACGCTCCGCTAATTTTCCTATTTTTAGAAGAGACAGGGTCTTACTCTTGCTCAGGCTGGTCTCAAACTCCCAAGTAGCTGGGACTACAGGAGTTCATCACCATGCCCCGCTAATTTTTCTATTTTTAGAAGAGACAGGGTCTCACTCTTGCTCAGGCTGGTCTCAAACTCCTGAGCTCAAGTGATCCTCCTGCCTCAGCCTCCAACAGTGCTAAGATTATAGGCTTGAGCCACTATACTGAGCCTTGTTATATTATTCTTTATACCTTATTGGTTGGGACTTGGCCAGTTTACTGTGCTCTGATTTAATATAAATTGAAGCAGATACCAGTACTGGTATTATTTCTGTAGCTCCTCATAAGTTTTCTCTCTCTCTTTCTTAAGGAATAAAACATCAGCTTCGAGTTCACTTGTCTTTTGGATTGGATTGTCCAATCCTTGGTGATCACAAGTACTCAGATTGGAATAAGTTGGCCCCCCAGGTAATACTGGTTTGACCCAATGTGCAACAGAATAAGGGAGGGAACTTAGGCTTTTCCTTTGTTAATCCCTGAAGTGAGTCATAACAAAGATGTACTGATTGTCTTTAGACGTGGTACCATACTAATTATTTAGCTTTTAGAGAAATTTAGAAGCAGTTAGTTACTGTCATCATGGAGCTACAAGATCTTTTAGCAAAACCTTACTCTTTCATTTGTTTAGTCTCTGATTTTGTTGGGAGGTTGTGGGCAAGGAGGAGTATTTCTAAAAGAAGGCTTTCTTGCTACTGCTGAAGAACCATGGGAGAATCCTTTTCAGCTTTGATGCTACAGCCCATTCTCTTGGTAGGCCACAGTATAGGCCAATAAGAACTTTTTTGGTATATTCATTTTTCTCTTACCTGGGTTCTGAGCCCTTCCTAGACATGCCCCAAAATACTCTCCATTACTATGTCTTCCAGGGAGGTTAGTGTTGGTTCCCTTTAAGTGGAAGTCTCTGGCCCTGCACACATGTTGGCCTTGATCTAAAGGGTCTTTTTTTGTGTGTGTAGAAACTATCTGTTGGCACCCTGAAGAAGCTGGGGCTGGAACAGTCAAAGGCTCGCCATATCCCGCTTCATCTGCATGCTCGGCAGCTGATCATGCCTGCTCTGGGGTCCAGGAAGGAGGAACTCAACTTAGTCTGCAAGCTCCCTCGCTTCTTTGTTCGTTCCCTGCACCGTCTGGGTTTAGAGATGCCAAATCAGGATGAAAATGGGGACAAAGAAGCCAGGCATCTGGGAACACAGTGAAAACTCTGGGAGCTCCCTGACATCCAGGAGCACAGGTTGGCCACTGAACTCTTTGCTTTGTTTACTGGACTGTGCCAACTTCTCACTGGGAACAGACTCCATAAGAGCCAGGTAGGATAAGTTGAAGCAACACAGTTGCTTCAGTGCTTTTCATGGAGAATAAAGTCTATTGCTGTGGAAAAGTCTGCTGGAAGTCTCCCTGCCACAGGGTCTCATTGCCATGGTGGAAGAGAGCCCAGGGCCAGCCATGTTGGAGCAATGAGCGAAAAAAGAGAACTAAAGGACAGAGTCTAGGGTCAGGAACTGTTTTTATCCAACAGTAAGGCTCTGGAGCTATCAGGAAGGTTCCCGTGGTTGGAAAGGACATGATGGTTAAACACATATCATGGAATTGGAGGGTGCTATTTAGCTGTAGCATGAGTGCCTTACTGCACTTTTTTTTTTAATCTAATTTTTTTTCTTTTTTTTTAGTTGTTTGGCTAATTTCTTTCTATTTTTAGTAGAGACGGAGTCTCACTCTTGCTCTGGCTGGTCTTGAACTCCTGAGCTCAAGCAATCCTCCTGTCTCATCCTCCCAGAGTGCTAGGATTGCTGGCGTGAGCCACTGCACCCAGCCGACTGCACTCTGATTATGGCGTCTGTGAGGGGTGTGTAGGGTGAGATTGAGGTGGGGTATCTGATAGACAAAGAAAGCAAATGTGAATGGTGGGCAGATACCATAAATGAGTGAAGCTGGCAGAGTGTAAGGCAGTGGTGGAGACAACAAACCAGGGAGTACACACAGTGTCCAACAATTGTCAGCCCTAGCTGGTTGTTGTCATGTGGGAACAGATTTTCTAATGTTTTTCAGATAATCAGGAAACCCAGATATTTATGTGAAATCTCACTCACCTCAGTGTATTGCCAACTAAGTCAAATTTTAAAGAGATACTTGGGCAGCCAAGCAAATAATATTTGCAGGTTGAATTTGGTCTTCAGGCTATCAGTTTGCAATCTATATTTAAAGAATGATAGAGACATTTGAGGAAAGGTGCCATCTTGAAAGTTCTGGACCAATGGTTGGCATTCTTGGCTTTTTCTAAGTCCTCAGGAAGTATATGGGCTTGCTTTTTGATGAGTCTATGCCCGGTAGCAAGGCTTGGGCCTGGGCCTTCAGAGTTTTTTTCTTAGCAGCCTGCTTAGCAGCTTGGTCAGCTTTGTTGTTTCCTCTGGCTATTATCCCATCAGTGCTCCGATGTCTAGGGCAATGTACTGTGGCCAATTCCTTGGGTCTTAATACTGCCCTAGCAGGCTCAGAATTCCTTTAGCATGTTCAATTTCTTTCTTCCTGGCAGTCAAGAGCCCTCTTTCCTTCCAAGTAGCTCCATATGCATGTACTACAGAGAAGGCATATTTGGGTTAGTATATATCATTATCTTTTTGTCCTTACATGCTGCAGAGCCTATGTAAGGGCAGTTCATTCCCTTTTGAGCTGACATACCTGGTGGGACAGCTTCTGCTTCCAAGGTCTCCAGATGAGTTACTGCAGCATGTCTAGCCCATGAAACACCTTAATACATTGGTGAGCATCTTTGGGTCCAGATCCTCCAGGGGTTGACCCACCAAGTTGGGCTAACTAGAATCAACTTGGTCAATAATTTGAATATAATCATGTGTAGATGCCTCCATGTTACTGAGGAGCAAGATAGCGGGATTCAAGGTAGAAACTGTTTTTAGGTTCATAACTGTTTGGGTTATTCCTTGGTGTTTTCCCAGTCTCCTGGATGTAAGCCCATGTCATCCTTTTTGCCCTCACTCAATGGAAGGGGCAAGCACTCAAGCATCAGTTTTTTGTAGAGAGAAAGGTTTATTGCAGGTGGCTAAGGAAGGAGATGGGCTCAAATTTGTCTTCTCTCATCAGCCTTAAAGCACCATATTTAAGGAGAGATTTTGGGGAAGGGTTTCAGGGTTGGTGGGTGACAAAAGAGGAAGTTTGAAAAGTTCTTGGGCATGTGCAATTGTTTCTTCATGCCTCTTCATGGGTTACATGTGCAAATTTGGGGAAGTTAGTATGAAACATGGGGTGGAAATTTGGGCTGTGACATGAGCGAGTTCATTCTGCATAGACTCCAGTCAGCTATGTTGGTTCCAGCCTGTTTTTACCCAGTTTTGTTATCTTATAAAGGGGAGAGAATTTCAACAGACTGTTTCCTTATCTGCCATCCTATAAGACAAGTTCAAGAATTCATGTTAATTACTGGTCTCTTTAATCTTCTGGGGCATGGTTTTACAGATGGGGATAGTCCCAGAACAGCCTTTATGTGTTTCCTCTGTGTTGATGATGCAGCTTTCTAAACTCCCTTCCCTGTTTCCATGGTACTGATTACCATGCATAGTGAATTTAACTTAATAAAAGCACAGATGAGATGACTGTATTTGTTTATTATTTGTTTATTATTTAAACTCCCTTCCCTGTTTCCATGGTACTGATTACCATGCATAGTGAATTTAACTTTAATAAAAGCACAGATGAGATGACTGTATTTGTTTATATCAGGCCTAAATATTTTGCCTGTTGTTTCTATTTCTAGTAAACTATGCTTCTCAAGATAAAAAGACAAGAATACACCACTTAGGAAATACTGATAATTTGATTTTGATTCAGGGAGACAGATGAATAGGAATGCCCACAAGAATGGAGAACTGCCTTAGAAGAGCCAACGATGGAAATAAAAGTTAGAATTGAAAATTGTAAAAAGAGGAAGCTAGTCAGGGTACATTTGAAAGTTAAAAATATGATTTGTATTCTCATGTATCCTGTTTGGTCTCCTCTCTGATATGAATCTACAGTCTTTAATTTGGCAAACAGTGAATATTTACTAGATTGAAATGATCTAGGGGTGTTCATTTGTGTCAAGGAGCTTCTCATTAGCTGGGAAAATTTGATCAGCTAAGTGTGAGGCGGGACTATTGTCCCCTCCACCAGCACACTGGAGCTGGACTGAGAACTAGCTGTCTGTTAATTCTGCTTGGCTTCACCATGCATGGTGCTCTGCTATTCTTTGTAATCTTCACTGCTGGGTTTCGTGTTGGTTACTAAGCTGGGAGCTACCAAGCTAGTGACAGTTGGCTTTTGGGGAATTCCTAAACTGCCCTGGAATATAGGGATCCCACGTTGGAGAATGGGGCAGATGTCTACTCTGCCAAGCTTCTCCAGACCTCTCTGAAGCCGATGTCAGCATCTCCACGCCTCCTAATAGGGCTTGTTCTTCAGTGTTGAGTGAATCATGGGGGTGCCTGACAACTGGGACAGCAACTCTAAACAGCCTAGTTGGAGATCTGCAACTTTGGGGTGGGGGAAGTAGGGCAAGCCACATGATTTTAGTTAGAATAAGCTGAAATATTTTGGTGTGTTGTTTTGCCAGCCCTAAAAATTATGATTTTTAAAAATAAGTGTGTTTAAAATAAGTTTTATTTATAAATACAAAATGTCCTTTTAAAAATTAGTAAAACATTTAAGCACCACCATAAAGAACACAAAATTTTGGATGATATAATCTACTTGTATTTAGCTGCTGTCTGAGTGCTGAGAGGGTCCGTGTTAAGAAACATGGCAGGTGCTGTCTGGGGAGGAGGTGGCACGGCCCAGGAAACCTCAGCACATGCCACGTTGCTGCTGTGGTTGGGCAGCAGGCACGAGGGGTGATGAGGTTCTTCTTTTTCTGTGTTTTCTTAGGCCTAAAAAAGGATTAAACATTTCTCTGATCCTTAATGGACTCTGGACTACCTGAGCAGTGGGTCTTGCTAGGTACAGTTGTTATCTTTAATCGTTGAGAACAGGAGGAATTTTATCCCACCTTAGTGTGGCTGGGAAGCAGAGGTTATACAGTAAAGCAGGGTGGAACATGCCTAAAGTGAACTTCACCTATTTTGAAATATTGATTTGAGCCAGTTAAAAGATTTGATTATTAAGTCATATACAGTAATTAGTATAAGCAAATGGTTTTTCTTTCTTTTTATCAAAGTTATACATGCAAATGATTAAAAATTAAACTAAAGGTTTATGATGAAAAATACTAGTTCATTGTCCATGTGGGGCTTTTGTTTTTAGCTCTCCCTGAAACATCTACCAGTACCTCTGGGAAGCGCCTCTTGGCACAGGAGGCTGGAGGCTGCTCACCCAGCACTCCCCTCCTGTGGCAGTGCCTGGTTCTTATGCTCCAGAAGCAGCTCCAGGCTGGGTACACCCAACCCAAGCCCACAAAACACGCTCTCAACCCTCCTGCTGCACGTGTCTTTGCATTGGGTAACAGATCTCTCCCACTCTGGACCCCTCACTCGCTTTGATTCCATGGACTCTTCCTGTGTCTTCTCATTTGGTCTCCTTCCAGGCTCCTTGAGTGGCTACCACACAGTGCCCCCAGAGCTCTCTCTTTGCACTGTGCCCCTTACCCAGAGGGAGCTGGGTTAACCTTAGAAACCTCTTGCCTGTGTGCTGAAAACATGTAAGTCTGACCTTGGGCTCTCCCTGTCGGCTCCCTTGCATCATGCCAGACTGCTCACTGCCTTCTCTCTCCAGGCTGCTGCTCCTCTCCTCTTACCTGCCTCAGTTAAATGGTATCAGCAGAGTCCTAGGAATTACCCTTGACTCTTCCCCTGCATGAGTCCTCAAATCCAGTTAGTCACTAAGTCCTTGCCATTTCACTCTAAACCCTTCTCTAAAATGGACTTCCCTCTTTAATTCTGCAACCTCTCCTGAGCACCAGTGTCACTGTCCCCACCCTTCAACCATGATGGGATAGATCTGGAAGGTGGAGGGGCATAGTGGGTTAGGAATAGGACCATAAGCCTGGGCAACAGCAAGACCCCATCTCTATAAAATATAGAAAAATCAGCCCGGTGTGGTGGCACCTGTAGTCCCACTTACTCGGGAGGTTAAGGCTGAGGCTGGAGGATCACTTGAGCCCAGGAGTTTGAGGCTGCAGTGAGCAATAATGATGGCGCTGCATGCTGCACTCTAGCCTGGGAGACAGAATGAGACTTTGTCTTGAAAAGAGAGAGAGAGGGGAGGAGGAGGAAGAGGAGGAAGGGAAGGAGATGGAGAAGGAAGAAGAAGAGGAAGAGAAGAGTGATGAAAGGAAAGGAGAGAGAGAGAAAAAAAAGGGGGGGAGAGGAGAAAGAGTACCATAGGCAACTTCTAGTTCCCACCAGAAACTAAACTCAGAAAGGAGTATTGAGAATGTTCCTAGTTCCCATGTTCCTGGGGTCAGAGCGATGGAGGGCTG